ATGATTGGAGACATCACTTATAAGAACCCAAATGTGTCTGGACGCTTTCAGTATTTAATGGTTCGTGGTATCAAATGGACTACTTCAGAGTCGAGGAAATTTAGACTCATTCATACTCTACTTCCAGTAGTGTACATGGAGAAAAATCCCTTTAAATTGCGGTGATTTAACTACAGCTCTAGGGACCACAGGTGAATTATAACGGTAGCTCCGAAAAGAAATCATGCAGATTAGAAAATTGACGGTCTGACGGTTAGAGATCAAGTAGCTAGCTTTATCAACCCGTCTATATCTTCTTTTTCCGCCTCCTTCTACCCCGTGGTATTGGAGACTGTGTCGGTCCGAGAAGTAGAGGAACCACCGGAAGCTTCCTTCCCAGTGGCACCCGCACAGGCAGTCCCCCCCAGTGGCTCCCACTCAGGCAAGTCCCCACAGTGGCACCCGCCCCGGCAATCCCCCCAGTGGCACCCACCCAGGCAGTCCCACAGTGGCACCCACCCAAGCAGTCCCCCCAGTGGCACCCGTCCAGGCAGTCCCCACAGTGGCACCCACCCAAGCAGTCCCCCAGTGGCACACCGGGCAGTCCCCCAGTGGCACCCAGTCCCCCAGTGCACCCGCCGCGGCAGTCACCCCAGGGGCACCCGGCCACGTCCCCATTGGCACTCACCTCGTCCCCCCAGTGGCACCCGCCCCGGCAATCCCCCCAGTGGCACCCACCAAGCAGTCCCCCAGTGGCAACCCGCCCGGAGTCCCCAGTGGCACCCACCCAGGCAGTATACCCCCCAGTTTGGCACCCACCCAGCAGTCCCCCAGGTGGCACCAACCCAGGGCAGTCCCCCCAATGGCACCCGCCGCGGCAGTTTACGGCAAGGGCACCCGCCAGCAGTCCCATTGCACTCACCTCGGCAGTCCCCCCCAGTGGCACCAACCCAGGCAGTCCCAAGTGGCCCCGCGCTCGGCCAGTCCCCAGGGCACCCGTTCCCCCAGGCACTGGCAGTCCCCCCAGTGGCACCATCCGACCGCCCGGCAGTCCCCCCAGTGGCACCCGCCGGCAATCCCCCAAGTAGCAGTCCCCACCGTGGCACCCACCCAGGCAGTCCCCCAGTGGCACCCATCGGCAACCCCCAGTCCCCCAGTGGCACCCACCCAGGCAGTTCCCCCCAGTGGCACCCGCCCGGCAGTCCCCCCAGTGCACCCCGCCCAGGCAGTCCCCCAGTGGCACCCAATCCCCAAGTAGCACCCACCCAGGCAGTCCCCCAGTGGCACCCACCCAGGTTGGCACCCACCCAGGCAGTCCCCCCAGTGGCACCCGCCCGGCAGTCCCCCAGTGGCACCCACCAGGCAGTCCCCCCAGTGGCACCCAGGCCAGTCCCCCAGTGGCACCCACCCCCGGCAATCCCCCAGTGGCACCCACCCAGGCAAGTCCCCAGTGGCCCCCCCCAGGCAGTCCCCCCCAGTGGCACCACCCGGCAATCCCCCAGTGCACCCACCCAGGCAGTTCCCCCAGTGGCACCCACCCAGGCAGTTCCCCCACCAGTGGCACCCACCCAGGCAGTCCCCCCAGTGGCAAATCCCCCAGTGGGCAAGTCCCCCCAGTGGGCACCCGCAGCCCCCAGCACCGTCAGTCCCCCGTGCACCCGCCCAGAGTGGCCACCACCCCCCAGTGGCCACTAGGGCCCCGGCAGTGGCACCCGCCCCGGCAAATCCCCCAGTGGCACTCGCCCCGGCAGTCCCCCCAGTGGCCCCCACCCCGGCAGTCCCCCCCAGTGGCACTCGCCCCGGCAGTCCCCCAGTGGCCCCCACCCCGGCAGTGTGGCCCCCACCCCGGCAGTCCCCCAGTGGCCCCACCCCGGCAGGTCCCCCCAGTGGCCCCAGGCAGTCCCCCAGTGGCCCCACCCAGTGTGGCCCCCACCGCCGGCAGTCCCCCCAGTGGCCCCCCACCCCGGCAGTTCCCCCCAGTGGCCCCCACTGGGGGGGACTGCCTGAGTGGATATCACTTTGGGGGACTGCTGGGTAGGTGCCACTGGGGACTGGGGAGTGCACTGCCGGGGTGGGTGTCCTCTGGGGGACTGCGGGGGGGGGGGGGTGCTACTGGAGGGACTGCCTGGGTGGGTGCAGTCCCCCCCAGTGACACCACCCCAGGCAGTCCCCCCAGTGGCACCCACCCAAGCAGTCACCCAAGTGATACCCATAGATCACCAGACTTTAATTTGCAAGATAGGTAATAAGAATGCATGCATTATGATGGAGACATCACTTATAAGGACCCAAATGTGTCTGGACAATTACTAATTCGACAGAGTAAGATAATGGATGGGTTGGAGACATTTCCTCAAGATTTACGTTTTTAGTATTTAATGGTTCGTAGTATCAAATGGAGTACTTTAAGGTTGAGGAAATTTAGACTTTCATATCCTACGTCGGGTAGTGTACATGGAAGGAAACCCCTTCAAATTGTGGTGATTTAACTACGGCTCTAGGGACCACAGGGAAATTATAGCGGTAGCTCCGAAAAGAAATCATGCAGATTAGAAAGTTGACGGTCAGACGGTTAGAGATCAGTGGCTCCCATCCTGGCTGTCTCCCCAGTGGCTCCCACCAGGCTGTCCCCCCCAGTAGCTCCAACCCTGGCTGTCCCCCCAGTAGCCCCAGGCTGTTCCTCGGCACCCACCCAGCCAGGCAGTTCCCCCCAGGGGCACCCATCCAGGCAGTCCCCCAGGCATCCTCCCAGGCAGTCCCCCCAGTGGCACCAACCCAGGCAGTCCCCCCAGTGGCAGACAGTCCCCCCCCAGTGGCACCCATCCAGACTGTCCCCCAAGTGGCACCCACCCAGGCAGTCCCCCAGTGGCCATCACCGCCCAGGGCAGTCCCCCCAGTGGCACCCGCCCAGGCAGTCCCCAGTGGCACCCACCCAGGCAGTAGTCCAGTCCCCCAGTGGCACCTACCAGGCTGTCCCCCAGTGGCACCCGCCCTGACAGGTCCCCTCAGTGGCACCCACCCCAGGCAGTCCCCCAGTCCCCCACCCAGGCAGTTCCCCAGTGGCACCCACCACTCAGGTGTCCCCCCAGTGGCACCCACCCAGGCAGTCCCCCCATTGGCCCCACCCAGGCAGTCCCCCCAGTGGTCCAGGCACCCCATCACACCCAGGCAGTCCCCCCAGTGTACCCACCCAGGCAGTCCCCAGTGGCACCCCAGGCAGTCCCCCAGTGGCACCCACCCAGGCAGTCCCCCCAGCGGCACCCACCCAGGCAGTCCCCCCAGTGGCACCCACCCAGGCTGTTCCCCCCAGTGGCCACCACCCAGGCTGTCCCCAGTGGCCCCACCCCCCCTGTGGCACCCACCAGGCTGTCCCCCTGTGGCATCCACCCAGACAGTCCCCCAGTGGCACTCGGCCAGACTGTCCCCCCAGTGGCACCCACCCAGGCAGTCCCCCCAGTGGCACCCCACCCAGGCAGTCCCCCCAGTGGGCACCCACCCAGCTCCCCCAGTGCACCTGCCCAGGCCCCCCATGGCACCCACCAGGCTATCCCCCCAGTGGCTCCCACCTAGGCAGTCTCCCCAGTGGTACCCGCCCAGGCTGTCCCCCAGTGGTTTCCCACCCAGGCAGTCCCCACAGTGGCACCCCGCCCAGGCTGTCCCCCAGTGGCACCCGCCCAGGCTGCTCCCCCAGTGGCACCGGCCCAGGCTGTCCCCCCCAGTGGCACCCACCCAGGCAGTCCCCCCAGTGGCACCCACCCAGGCAGTCCCCAGTGGCACCCCCCAGGCAGTCCCCCAGTGGCACCCACCCAGGCAGTCCCCCAGTGGCACCCGCCCAGGCTGTCCCCAGTGGCACCCGCCCAGGCTGTCCCTCCAGCGGCACCCGTCCTCCCAGTGGCACCCACCCAGGCAGTTCCCCCCAGTGGCACCCGCCAGGTTGTGGCACCCGCCTAGGCAGTCTCCCCAGTGGCACCCGCCCAGGCTGTCCCCCCAGTGGCACCCACCCAGGCAGTCCCCCAGTGACACCCATCCCCCAAGTGGATCCCACCCAGGCAGTCTTTTCATATTTTGTTATAGAAAGGACTAATGGAATGCAAATATAAACAAATCTTGATATTATGTTGATGAGCTGCAATAAATACCTATATAGCTTTCAGAAATGGTAACCAAGAGGCTTGATAAAGCGATGGAAGCGAAACCGGACTCGCTTAATAAAATTGTGCGTCACAGAGACACACACACGAAAATATCAATTTGTTCTGAAAACAACGTATGTGCCGTCATGGGACCGATCATCAAATACCAAGGAATCCCAATTCCCTTAACAAAATATCCGACCAAAACGGAAAGGGAAGGAACACAAGCACACATAGCATCAGCCAACGGTAAGTCCGAAGAGCCACTTATCGTCTTTAAAGTTAAGTCAACTGGAAGGAAATGCCCCTAACAAATTCTTTTGAAATGCAGGAGCATGGCATTCCTCAGCACGGAAATCTGGTGTGACAGTATGTGACACCTTTACCCCCTCCCTCTTCCCAGCATTTCATCCTCATGACTTTCTTAAATATAGCCTGTTTGTGTCGTAAAACACTCCTTAACCCTCTTACACATCCTTCACAACCCTTAAATAAATTCTGCTGTACTCACTTCCTCTTAGTACCCCTCCATATGAACTTCAGGTGAATACTGTAATAACTCGAAATACAACCATTATAAACGGTAAGACAACGTGAGAAAACACCCACAACACCACGCTCGCAAAGTCATGCAAACGTTGTCAAGACTCGCATTCAGCAATACAACTTTTCGATCCAGTTAACATGCCAAAAATCTCCTTGCTTGGTGTTCTCGGGAAATCGGTGTGCTGGTATATTCCGTGGAACATGTTCACCATCTCGGCCCCTTAAGAATTTCTCAGAGAACATACAGTTGAAAATGATTTTTCTCTCTCTCTCAGCAACGTATAAAAATCCTTTTTATCACATCTGTTACCTAACTTTTACCTTACTTTTTTGTGAGGATGT